TGAGGATACTTTTTTGTCAAAACCAAAAGAACTGCAGATGCTGTAAATCAGGAACAAAACACAGAAGTTGCCGCAAAAACTCAGCGGGTCTGGCAGCATCTGTGAAGAAAAAAAATCAGAGTTAGTGTTTCGGGTCCAGGTTCTGAGGAAGGGTCACCGGACCCGAAACGTTAACTCTGTTTTTCTCTTCGCAGATGTTGCCAGACCTGGTGAAATCTTTCGTTAACCTGTTTAGAAAAAAAACGTTATGACACATGTCTGGAGCAAGCAGGACTTGAACTCTAGACCTTCTGGCTTCAAGGTAGGGCCATTACCACTACACTACAAGAACCACTTTATTTCTGCTCAGTGTCCACCACGAAACAATTTATATGCAATTGCTGGCAGCAATGATCTAAGTATAAAGAGGGCGTGGGCTCTAGTGGTTCAGTGGTATTGTTCCTACCTCTGAGCTGGAGATCCAGGTTCAATTCCCACCTATTCCAAAGATGTGTAAATACAATCCTGAATACTCAAGAGGTCAAATAGCTTCCTGTGTTGATTTGAAGTTTACTTTTGCTATGAAACTAAGTGACCTGATGAGTGGATTTTTTATTTTGAAGATGGATGTTGGCCATTCCTTACAGCGCAGAATGCATGATGAGGATCAGAGAGTGTGAGGGAGCCAGTTAAGAGTTTAAGATGTTGAACCGGTGCATGCACAATTCAGTTATGTCTATAGCCCTGTGAGCTGGTCCCCACTGAGGGGCCCTTGAATTATTTATTTTTCAGGCTTTTCGCATCTACCGGGTAATGTGCTGCTGCAGGGTACATGGCAACCTCAACAGATACTACCTCCAAAGGGTTGGTGAGGACATGATGGGCTGAATGGCCTGCTTCCACACTGTAGGGATTCTATGAAAGGGGCTTGCTGTCAGCCTGAGGGACCCAGTGAAGCCTTGAAAGATTTCCTTGGTACTCCTGGCTCAATACGGTAAAGGAAACACGGTGCATTCAACTTTGCTTCCTGCTCTGTCTGTCTCTCTTCTACACCCACCCCTCCCCGCCACCCTTTCCTCCTCAAACATCAATCTGCTTTATCTGCCGAGCTATGAAACACAGGTAATTCTGCTGTAACGTGCGTTTCATGAACGCAAATTGGCTGTAACGCGATTGATGATTAGTGGACGCTGTTTGGATAAACACAAACTTTGTCAACTGGAGAAAAAGGGAAGAGAGATCTCCACCATCACGGAGTTCAGACTACCATTTCATGGAGTTCAGAATACCATTTCATGGAGGTATTATTTTGGAGGGAAGAAGAATTGTCTGTCAGCTTAGCTGATATTCAAGGGAGCGAGCGTGTTCGAACTCACCCGGATGGTTTCAGCTGCATTTCAGAAGTTAATCTCTTCACTGACCTGCCCACCTTGCTGCTGGAGCAATGGATGTCATTATCTGTCACCACAATCCTCCTCTTCAGCTTGGGATCCAGGATTTGGGGACAAAGCAATTTGGGAGTGAATTAAAGTCACTGCGTTCGAGTAGGAACGTAACACAGAAAGAATGGAATTAACCTGGTTTGGGTTCTGGAGCCCTGAGCTCAGTTGCCCCTCGAAGGGGGAAGAAGAGGCAAGAAACGTCGGCAGGAGAAGCTGATCGATCCTGCTTCTTGGTTGAACAACAAACGCATTGAGTCACTGAGACAATGGAGAGTTGTTCCCACCAACATTACCCAACAACGGTCCAACAGTTCTGCTCCAGTGCTGCTTATACACCTCATCGCTCTCCTTGTGCACTTCAGCTTCAAGCAGGGTTGGAGGAGAGGACTGTTCTTTGGAAAGTTTGAGCCTTTGAGGTGAGTGAGATGAAGGCATGTGAAGAGAGTCACCGATGTGGATTTGAGTTGTTTGCTCACTCTCCTGATGCATTTGATTCGCAGAGAAATGGGATTTGAAGATCAACATTGTCGAAAGTGAGAAGGATGTTGGGCAGAAGATGTACAACCAGCCCATTAGAGAGAGAGAGAAACCGTCGGGGCATAGCGATATAGGGAATGAGAGTGATTGGGAGCCGACTATACTTGTGGGCATGCGTGCTAGCTTTCCATAAATTAACCCTTTGAACTGCAGTATCATGAGAGTTATTTTGCACTGCTCTGTCTGCCCAAGATAAACCATCTGCAGGAAAGGAAACTGGAACCTTCTAGAACTTTGAGCTGTTTGGAACGCGTTGGTGTCTTTTGAGTAGAAATCCCAGCAGCACACACAACTACCTCCCAATGTCTGAACAGCAAGTGGTACTGGATCCTGCTTAACATCAGTGCATCCTCTGTCAGTTGGTTGTGGGGAGCTGGCATATACTTGTCCAAACGCCAAGGCATTCTGAGTGTGAATATCTATACTATTCTAGTTTATAGTAAAGCAGCACCTAACTGTCCAAGTCTTACACAATAAAATTGTTGCAAAAGGTTATCTGGTCACTTCAGTAAAATCATAGAGTTATACAGCACAAAAACAGACTCTTTAGTCCAACCAGTCCATGCCAAACATAAACTGGTCCCACCTGCCTGCACTTGGCCCATACCCCTCTTTGGGGTCGTGTTCAATAATGACCGAGATGGGTGAGTGACGAAAACAGCCTCTTTATTGAGCACCCACAGTAGCACAGTTCGAGGTGATGATGGAATCCAAAGTACAGTTTTATAGTAGCCCCTTTATACACAGTTCTTACATACGTTAAAATTTCAGCACTCTGGTGTTACTAAGCTGAATCTATTGTACACAAGTTTGCGTGACATTTCTCCTGGGGAAGCAGGAGATGGTTTAAGCACTTGCTAAATGCTGGCTGTTACTCCTGATGGGATTAGAATGTCTGTCCAGCCTGAGCTTGCAATAATTAAGAGGTGTTAGTCCTTTTGTCTTTGAAGTTAGTAATGTTAGTAAAAGTACTCGACCTATATGATCTAAATATTTGAGAAATTATACGTGTACTAAATAAAAGTATAGAGGATATTAAACGGATCTCCTGCAGCTGGGTTGTGAGATTTCATTTACTATTGCCGGTTTTGACAATTCCTACACATTCATTCATGCAGTTTCACGGAAGTGCTGCTTTGGTAGTAAGTTTCTTAAAGAGGTAGCAGCCCTGTTAAATATGTATTTAAAAAGTACATACCAGTGGAGGAAACTCTTCGATGTTCAGATCCTGAGGGACGGTTGCTAAGGGCTAATTAATATTTATAATCTTTCCATAGTTTTGAGTGAGTTATGGAGACACGATGGCAGGGATGGCATTGTTCTGAGTAGGTTACAGCATTAACACTTCTTCAGGGGTAGCCTTTGATACAGAAACAGGTCTAAACACCGCTTGCAGCATGAGGTTGATAGGAATTGATAAGTGTAAAGAAGCAGTAATGGTTGGAAGGGATGTTTAATTTAGTTTCACACGGTTTTATGAAGGAGTGAATGGAAATGTGGTGTAGTAAACACAGTGCACTTGTGAGTGAGTTAGTAAAGAGTTATGGATGAATGAATGGAAACGCCGTATAGTAAACATAGAGCACTTGTGAGGTAGTAAAGAGAATAATAATACAAAATCTGACACCCTCCAAACATTTCTTACTTGGATAAGTACATGAATGTCTTTTAAACGTTGTAACTGTACCCTCATCCACCACTTCCTTTGGAAGTTCATTCTACATACGAATCACTGTATGTGTGAAAAAAAATCCCATGTGTCTTATTTAAACCTTTCTCCTCTCACCTTAAAAATATGCCCCCTAGTCTTGAAATCCCCCACCTTAGGGAAAAGACACCTGCCATTCACCTTATCTACACCTTCATGATTTTATAAACCTCAATATGGTTGCTCCTCAGCCCCCCAGGCTCCAGTGGAAGAAAGTCCCAGCCTTTCCTTATAACTCAAACCCTCCATTCCTGACAATAGCTTGGTAAATCATTTCTGAACCCTCTCCAGCTTAATAATATCCTTCCTATAACAGGCCGACCAGAACTGGACACAGTCCTCCAGAAGATGCCTCACCAAAGTCCTGTACAACCACAACATGACGTCCCAACCCCTATACTCAATGATCTGAGCAATGAAGGCAAGCGTGCTAAACGCCTTCTTAAGCACTCTGTCTCTATGTGACAGTAAACTTTCATCACACCCTTTGTGCCAGAGGGCACATACTGCAGATAATTGTTTAGTTCACAGTTCCTAGTCTTGTGCTTTCATTCCAAATGCACAGACAATGCTGGCCTGAAAGCATTCCAGGAATTTTATGTACTGTACTGTAGATGACAGGGGAATAATTTAATACTTTACAATTGTACACAGATGGAACAATAACAAGAGACCAGATGCTTTGGAGTTCTTCCCAAATGCAGCAACACTTTTAGCGAGTTGACAATTTTCAGAATTCACAAATAGTTCAGATTATTCTCCAGTTTCCTCTCCTCCATTGGAAAGGTTGTATCTTTTTTTCTGGGATTTATTTTCCTCAAGCTTCTCCCATTCCCAGTCGCAGCAATGTGACTGTAGGCAAGCGAGGATGTGCCGCATCTTCAACTATGAAGGGCATCACAGTGAGTGCGAGGTTATACAGTGCTGAAACCCTCGATGAATTATGACGCTAATGCTTTGGCGAGATAACAGGTCTTATCAGTCAAGCCATTGGTACTGAAGCACATTTTGCTGGAAGCCGCCTCCAAGAACACTAAATTGACTTTTGGTAAAATTATACGAAAGAGATTCTGTGTAGACAGTTTAGAAACTCTCGAGCTGGGAAGACAGTGATGACCATTTTAAAATTATTGCGTAGAGATTAAGGCGAAACATTGGAAGAAATACCTTGTCGTGGGCTGTTTATGGAGTATAGATTGCGAGCCATTGAGGCAGGGATTGTTGTCTTTAAAGAAACATTGATCCAACCAACCCACGTTCCCAAATCTTTGGCCCAGTTACTGACCCAGTGACATCATTATGCCACAGTAGGCACAGAACGCCAGCTCCCTGCAGCTCAGGCATTGCCAACTGAGAAGGCAACAGAGTAAAGGCATTAGATCAATGAAGTCCCACACGATTGCAGACCTTGCTGTCTTGATTCAGGTACTCAGTGTGTGAAATGAATTGAAATGCACAGAGGCGCTTGCGGGGGTGGGGGGGGTGGGGAGCGCGCGGAATCGCTGACCCTTTTGGTCCACTGAGGACATTGTGGTCACCCCTCTCAAATATTTGCTCGGTCAGAGGAGTAAGTCAGAGAGTAGCACTTTATCTCAACTCAGCAAGGACAGTGTAGACACCCACACTGACCAAACTAGAACCATTTGCCATTAGCCTCACATGCAATTGTGGTGCCAGCTACATATTAAACGTTCAGGCTATTTTGTACAGTTCAAAAAGTCCTGAGCCTGTGTTACGTGAAATCAGCAGGGCCTTTTCAAAGCTGGGTCTTGAGCAGTTTTGATCTGCTGTTAGGATATTCTATTTAATACTCTGATCCTACAGCTGAAAGCACACGTAAAAAGTGAGATTCCCTTTCTCTTAAAAAAAATGTTTAGCCTCTTACCTTTGTGGTTTGATCCTACATTGGTCAAATAGCATTGACAACCACCAGGGTTGATGGGGACTATAAATCTCATTTTACAGCATTCCCTTTTAGAGTAATTTCATTCCTTTTGTTTACCTACCAGTAAAGATTCCTTAACAAATGGGAGTTCCCCTAGTAAACCTCCCTTCCTCTCCAACTCTCTTTATTCTTTTGGGACACTCATTAAAACATGCAGCACTCACCCTAAAATCTACTTAACTGGCTCAGTGGCCGCATGATGCATTATGATGCTGCTGTGAACTGGCTTGGTGTTTTTAAGGGCACTAAATCAATGCAGTTTGTTGTTATATATTGTTGTACAACGGGGAGTTTTATTTTTTGAGATTGGAATTAAGGCTCATTAAGGCAGATAGCCTCAAATCCAGAGTAAATCCTTTTCATGAAAAAATGCCCATTTCTAGGGTCATTTTCGTTGTCACTAATATCAGTGCATAACTATCCTCCGAAATTGACAAATGGTGCAATATTTCATTTCTAAGCCCAATCTTGGTAAGTAAATTGCTTGCTCAATGATATAAAAGCAAAGTTTGGTAACAAAGCAGGTGCTGGAAGATCGAAGTGCTTCTGAAAGATCATCTTTTTAAAAGAGCGTGCATTCTGCATCTTTAAGGAAGGGATTATTTGAATGCAGTGCTTTGAAATGTGCCATTGTGTCTGGAAAAGAAATGTCGAAAAGTTTTGTTATCCTGTGCCTGCACGGATTGCAACAGCATCTTGTATACAAAGGCGTAAAAGAATAGACATAATTAAATCCTCAGATCTTGAGTTCTCTTGGCTCAGAAACAAAAAGTCAATAGATTTTGGTCTCCATTGCCAATTGCAGGACCCTGCCCAATTACCTCCATCCTTTGCACTGTTTAAGGAGCAGAGATGAATTTGGAACATGAGATCGGGCACTGACCTAGAACATCAACTGGGCAGCAGTGAGTTCAAGCACGAGTTTAAGGGAGTTGATCTAGATCAGGCATGGAGGACAATGACTCAGACATTGACTGGGAGCAGTAATCTAGAACATAGACCCAAGACTGCGATCTAGAATGTGGCTGTGTTGCAGCGAGCTGGCCAGGCCAAATGGCCTATTCCCGCTCCTGAGTTAAATGTTTGTACATATGTTCAAATGTTTATATCACTGCATTCAGCACGTTAGCAAAGTGGACAGATTGTCTTACCGAGAGCTTTCTTTTCGGAATCAGCATTGATTGCCTTAAGAGTGATTGGGAGCCCACGTGCTGACCCGAGCAAGTTGCCAAGTGATTGTGTTGTTTCCGTTTCAGGGACTAACATGCACCTTGCTGAGGAGCTGATGTTACCCACCTAGGAATAGAACCACGACCTGACTCCCGACATTCCCAGGATGCTGGGAATCTGCAGAGGACGCAGGAAGTTCCTCGCAGCCACCCTGACCGTTCTCTTCGTGCCAGCGTTTACCTGGATTTACCTCTTCTCGGGGACATTCAAAGGCAAGTGGTACACCCATTACTTGTGATTACCCTCATACCTTGCTCCATCCCTTCCTTATACCTCGAATGAATATGCAAACGGTGCCGGATGATTAGTAAGTAATTGGGCTCATTTATTGGGTTGTTCTTGACTCATCCCTCATACGAGGAATTGTCAGTGAGTTTGGATGCAGGAATGGCATTTAAGAAGCGATCGGTTCATGATAAGGCTGGTCAACCCTCCAGGAACGAGTTGGAAAGTCAGGGGGACGTTTAAAAGTACGTTCTCTTGCTGGTTCTCTTTTGAAAATTGCTAGTTCAATTTGGTATAAAAGTGTGAGAAATCGGACCAAAAGAATCATTAATTTTGGTGAATGAAGTGTGTTCTCTTTCTGATTGGTCTACAAGAAGGCAGTGCTTCTCGAGACGGAGAGGTCAATGACAGCAGGGAGGGGGATGCAATTAGCATCAAGCGCTTAATCCTTCAGGAACATGTCCAGCAATTTTCGGCAGTGGATTGGACGAGAGGGGGCTCTGGTTTGAGTGCAGTCCTTTCAGGCTGGCCTGGTTTGATCACAATGGTTCTCCATGGCAGCATTGAGCTTGCTTTTTAGATGCTACGGTGGAGCGTGATCAGAAGTCCAGAACCATTTCGCCACTAGGAAATGGTCGGACTGAGCAAAACGTACGGGCAGAGTTTATTAATCTTTGTTCATTTGCTCGTGTGTTGCCTGGGTGGATGTGAAACAGCTAGTGGCCAAACCTCTGGTAACCTATTCAACACTGTTCAATCAATGCAATGTGTTTTGTCTAATCTTTATGTAATGAGTTGCATCTGGTGCGTCCCCCTCCCAATATGAGCACTGTAGATAAATTATTGGCTTAAGAATTTGACTCTGTGCTGATTTTATCAAAGAATGCTAAATGGCCCCCTGAACAATCAATATTACAGGGAGATGCTCTGGTTACAAACTGGAAATGCATTGATTGTTGCAATGATAAACAGCAAGATGTAAGACTGTTTGAGACCTCAACTGTAGGGGTGGTTGCACTAAAGAGATAGCATAGACTGTATACAGCCCAATTAACTTCCTTAAGGATTGCAACACATTCTACTCTGCTCCCATTAATCGACTCATAGAGTCATACAGCACGGATACAGACCCTTCAGTCCAACCATTTCTTCTGGAGGTTCATTCCACACACCAACCCCTTTCTGTGTTTAGAAAAAAAGTTTCCCCTCATGTCTTTTTTAAATCTTTCTCCTCTCACCTCCAAAAATATGCCCCCTAGTTTTGAAACCCCCACCCCAGGGAAAAGACACCTGCCAGTCACCTTATCTATGCCCCTCATGATTTTATAAACCTCTATAAGGTCACCCCTCAACCTCCTATGCTCCACTGAAAAAAGGTCCCAGCCTATCCAGCCTCTCCTTATAACTCAGACCCTCCATTCCCAGCAACATCCTGGTAAAACTTTTCTGAACCCTCTCCAGTTTAATATCCTTCCTATAACAGGGCGACCAGAAACTGGACACAATACTCCATAAAAGGCCTCACGAACCTCAACATGACGTCCCAACTCCTATACTCAAAGGTCTGAGCAATGAAGGCAAGCATACTAAATGCCTTCTTAAGTGCCTGCCCATGAACTTCAAAGAACTGTGTACCTGACCCCCTAGGTCTTTCGGTTCTTCAACACTACCCAAGGCCCTTTTCGATCCCTCAGACATTGACTCCCTCTCATCCCATCCAGCTTTTCCCTCTCATTCTCAGGGGCTTCTCCAGGTTCATGCACCTCTTGCCATTGCTACCAGTGAGAGTCATTGAAGGCCTGTGCACTCTGAATTTGTCTCTGAGGACCTCCTTATTCGATGAGCTGTAGCAGTTAGGGCTGTTCAGTCCCCTGGGACACCACAGGCTGTGGGTGGAGAGAGGAGATCTGGTGGCCCTGATAAGCCCTGATAACCTGAATAATGGAATGATGCAACAGATAATCCAGATACAAAAGACAGATTTACACCGAAGGACAACAAGCATTTAGTTAATTAGACAAAAGTTCAGCTGTTCCCTTCGAGCGTGAGAGGAGACCAATTAATGAGGTTAGTATGTGAGTGATCCTGAATTCGGGAAGATCCCAGTTTATTTCTCCCAACATGTCCAGAGGTGGCTAATCTCGCTCAGGCTGCTCCATTTTGCTGCAGTGCACCGTGGATTAAGAAGCTTACTGTTCAGTGGCATCCTGGTTGGAGAGAAGTGTATGAAAGTGTGTGTAGTGATGACAGAAAATGAATTGACTGTAATTTCTCCGTCAATTCAGTAGCCTGCTAGCGAGACGTGAAGAACGACCTCACGGGTGAGTAACAGAGGCAGATTATGACTTTTGAAGCTACATCCCGATGAGGAGTGACTGGTGGAGGTGGAAAGGGAGGGAAATTGAGCGCATTTAATCTGGAAAGCTTAGCATGCTGGGAAATGCTGCACGTCCCCATCAGCGGCCGTGACTCAAGGCTGCAAAGATATGATGATTTTGCATCTCATGCCATGTCCCATTGGGTAGTCGTTTTCCCTGGTCCTCCAGCCTGAAAAAATATTTCACGCTGCAAAAAGCTGGGCATGCAAGATGGTAACGTAGAGACAAGGGAGACCTCAGTAGACATTGCATTACCTTTAGCCGGCTCGATGTCAGGACTCGGGGGGATAAACAGGAGAAGGAACTGGGGTGAGCGATGCAAAACAGGAGCGGGAAAGGAAGATTGCTTTCAGAGTCAGATATCAATGTGGCAATGTGAGAACGATGTAAACAGTTAAATATAAAACATCTCGAAGATCAATTTACAATCTACAGGAATGAGACCTCCGTTTCAGTTATGATAAAAACCGAAAATGCAGGTGAACCTCAACATCTAAGGGGAGAAACAGAGCAGGGGTTTGGGAAGGAGGGAGGCGTACCCACGGTTCACACTTCAGCCTGCTTGTACGGAAGTAGGTTCCGGGCAGAAAGGCTTGACCTTCCTGACCTTCAGCTGGTTGGTGCCCTTTGAGTGGCCAGTCAGTGTACATGTTGAAGGCCTCATTGTGCTTGCAGCTGGCAAAGTTAACTCCTTGGCACTGCCTGATTGCTGTGTGGCTCAGGATGTTTTCTGGAAAGAAGCAGGCGCAGATCTCTTTGCCTCGCTGACCACTCAACAAGATTCCGCTTGTTCCTTCCAACACCCAGTTGCAAACGTTATTACCAGGGCGAAATGCCAAGGTCAGTCCCTCAGTGTTCTGAAATGCACAGATGCTGTTTTCAATCAGTTCCCAGCCGATCCTTCATACCTGGCACAATAATAACACAAAAATATAACATCCCACAATCTTGCCTATTATTGTTTCCCGTCGTCTAACCAGGTAGATTAATCTTGATCAGGAGTGTCAGAAGCTCTCTGTCCATGCTCATTGCTTGCTGATGTCTGTCACTTGCATGGCTGTTCAAGGGAATAACTATAATGTACCGTTCAGATATTGAAATTGTTTAGAGATACCTTATCATTTGCTTATTGGGAGGGTTCTAGGGCCATTCCAGGCACAGTTGTATTCGGGAATTGCTGCTAAATGATTATGAATCTAATTCAGTGTGTCAAGCTGTAAGGATTAGAGATGGGAAGCTCTGATACTGTTTCACAGATTCTGATGTGCAGAGAGATGCGGGGGCGAGCAAGTTTTTATTTAACCATGTCATCTCTCCTTATTACAAAAGTAATAGATCTGCCCAGGCAGCCAGAAAATTGATTCCTTACCTGGTCCTCACTCTGGGTTTATAGATGGTTGAGGTGCATATGATGAGGAGGAGCCTTCAGGGGTGAAAATCGAACAATAGGCCTCACGTTGGCTTTATGCAGAGCACTTTGATGGATCATGTCTCTGTTGGAAATTGCATAGGATTTTACAGCACAGTTACAGGCCATTTGGCTGAATAGGTCGATGCTGGTGTTTATGCTTCACACAAGCCTTCTCTTGACGTAACTCATTTCACTTTATTAGCAGCACCCGCTATTGCATTCCCATTAATGTACATCCAGCTTTTCCTTGAATGCACGTGCACTATTCACCCCAATGTCTCTTTGTGGTGCAGCTGGTTCCACCTTTTGAACCACTCTTTGGATTCAGAAGAATTCTGTGCTGGTTTTAGCAGTAGCTTTCATATACTTATGTATTGGACTCCCTCACAACCAGAAACGCACACTCAATATCTGCCTGATTGAACCACTTCACAATTCTGCAAACTTCCACAGGGGACAGTCTTCTCTTTCTTAGCAAGGGCTTCCTTTGAGTGGCTGAGAAATCATGGCTTTGATGAATTGAGATTTTGTCTGCACTCATCTACATTTCGCTCCAGGCTTCGTTTTAAGTAACTGCACGTAACAACAAAAACCTCATGCGTTTATGCAGAGCCATCATCCTGTGGTGTTTCCCAGGAGCAAGACAAAATTTGACACCTGAGCCACAGTGGGTGCTAGGCGGTGAAAGCTCCATCAAAGACATACTATGTTTTAAGGAATGTGTTAGTGAGGGCTTGAGCGGTAGAGGGAGTTTGAGAGCTTAAGGCCTGGCATAGATGCTAATGGTGGGATGGTGTCACTACCGAAGCTTAGTTTCAATCCCAGAATTTTTTAGACTTAGGATCATAGAATCCCTACAGTGTGGAAACAAGACGTTCGGTCCATTAAGTCCACAATGACCCTCCGAAGAACATCCCCATCTTGACTCACCTCCCTACCCTATCTCTGTAACCCTGCATTTCCCAGGGCTAACCCACCCAGCCTGCACATCCCTGGGCACGATGGGTAATTTAACATGGCCAATCCACCCTAACCTGCACATCTTTAGACTGTGGGAGGAAACCAGAGCACCCGGAGGAAACCCACACAGATATGGGCAAATGTGCAAACTGCACACAGATAGTCGCCCGAGGGTGGAATCGAACCTGGGCCCCTGGCGCTGTGAGGCACTGTACCTCCCCTCCCACTTAATAACTTA